GTAGTATATATATATATATATATATATATATATATATATATATATATATGCATTTAACTTCCAAAAAAGTTAAGGCTACTGGCATGGCCCGAAGACCATCCCACTCGGTGATGATACGATAACCCAGACACAACGTGGCCCATTATAAAGTCCAGGAGTTAGACAACCAAGGTATTACTCCATATGTATGTATAATGTATAAAGTTTTTAATATTTAATATACTGTCTAGGTATTTTTGGGTTTCGAGGTCACTGTGCAGGTTAAATTTTTGCCCACTACTTGGATTCGGGTGTCGTCCCTACATTGAAAGAGGCACTCCTTTAGGTGAAGATAAAAAGGCAATCAGATTCTCATCTTGAACTCATTTTTCAGTTTTGACATTCGTTAATTCAGTAGTAAATACGCGCTACTAAACCTTTATTCAGATTAAGAGAATGCAACATCAACCGATCCCCCGACCCCCTCCCCTATGTATGAAGGTTTTCAGTAAAGACCCAGGCAACTAACTTTTTCGTTTACTCAAACAATTACATTTGCTACGTCCTTGCAAGCCGGTTTATTGATGCTAAACTTGTCACCAATATTTGACATTAACAATTTGACTTAATTTACTTCACATGCCCTCTTCAATCCAATTGAACAGTAAAAAGTTGAGTTCAAATGTCGTCGGCGGCGCTCATGAGACAACCGTTTTCAGTGTGGACCGCATTCCACTACAGCAATGGTTCTGGCTAAATCACACATCGCCGAAAACGATATTGAGGCATTCCATTCAAGGCCCCAATCTCTTCACATTAGTGGAGCACGAGCAGCACCTCTGGCGGAAGTATGTCAGGGATGTCTTACCCAGTCCGTGTACAAATACCAATTCCCTTTTGAAACCCAAGTGAAGAAACTTTCTTCAGTAAGAAGTGTCACTGATCGATTGGGCTTACGCGAAACGCATCAAGAATTCCCGGTCCACGTTTTGTGGTACGACTTCCTGCAGCTGTGAATGGAAAGCTTTTTTCCGCTGTTTTCACCCATTAAAAGTTGTTCAAACTTTGTGAATGCCAGCACTTCTACCAAAAAACCTTCCATATTTCTTCCATCTATACCCAAATATGGGGAAAGGAATCGAACCTTTGGTAGCATCAGCGACACAACCTATAACCTTAATTTAAAACATTAGATGGCTCATTCCCAGATTCTTCCGACAAATAAAAGCGGGAAACCACAACAATGCAGAAATTCCAACCAAGACAATAAAAATGACTTCAGATAGACTCCGAGTTAGGAGCGACCCCCTCATGCATCCATTTGTGCATTTCGAGCTGCTCTTCTCAAAATACTCTCTTTTTCGAGAGAATAGTTTATTTATCTCCGCTCGATAGATAGAGTTGCCACAGGAATTCGCTCTTTGGCAGCAATGCTTCAAACATATGTAAACTCAAACGCATCGCAAACCGCGCCTACTAACAATTGGACTGGCTTAAAATTTGGCCGCATAACGTCACGCTATTCTTAACGCGAAGGTGTACACTGGCGGACTTGCTACATAACCATAAAGCAGGGAACTGAGCCACGCGACGCGCGCGTGTACGTAGACCAGGTGATGAATCAATTGATCGTGCCTTTCGAACACACTCAAGAACCAGCCCCACCTCACTCACATCCTCCAGGCGCCGCCCCATCGGGATGACTCACTCGTGCTCTCGTTGATTGCCATAACAACAAGGCCACAAAAACGGTGCGCACACTGAGCTGTGACGCTAACCACGTCATGGCCTGTTGAGTGAAGGCAACAATGATTGCTATTAGCTCTAGCCACACTCCTGCATTCTCCCTATTTTCGAATTTGAAACTTCACCTTGCACATAGGTAGCACATATGATTATGAAATAAGCTAGACTGGTAAAGAAACCAGATATAAACAGTTAATATCGCATTAGCTGAAACATCTGGACTGTAGCGGTCAAGATCTTTTTACGGACCTGGAGGCCAAAGCACGAAAGCTGTGCTACCTTAAGGTCCACAGTGGTACCCTTTGATAACACTCCCTCGAAAATTAAGCAGGTTTATCTGAGGCATTGGACATAAATTTCTTGTTAATAGTAAATAATTGGTACAGATGGAGCTGTTAAGGGTCGTAACAGTGGAAACGGATAGCATTGGACAATAATTTCAAAAAAGAGCATTACAAAGCAGTAAAGCATTCGTGGTGGATAAAATAAGCCCCAAGTTTTTATGGACAAAATAACTCCTAATAAATGTGACAATTATACATAACTATCGGGTAATTTATTGAGATGGCCCAAGAAGGGGTGCTAAGTCAGCGACAGCACTTCGAGACACTGGCGCTATTCGGGTATCCACCAGGAGATTCCCTTCGTTATCTTTTATGCGAATTCGACCCGATGCGTAACGGGTCTCTTGCCGGCCATCCTTGAACACCGTCTTTACCGTACCGTCTGGGTAGATTCGTCTCTATTAAATTTCAATCAGAGGCACAAACGAACACGGCACTGGCACGAAAAGTCTTCTCAAAAGTGATTATTAAGTGCAGCGACCTCAAGATGATGGAGTGGGGATGAAATAAAAACTCAAATTTCTGTTATGCGCAATATTTAAAAATGATGTAGCCAACAAGAGCTTGAGACAATGCGAATACCTACCTTAAACTTTGCGCAATGGAACTCCTTCTGGCCATTGGGTAGGCTGATGATCTTGTCGCCGTTTAAAAATATCTGGACCGACATTCCATCAGGAAGGTTGGACTCCCCCACAACCACCGACTGGGTGGCGACTGTCCTATAGTGAGCAGGGCTACAAGAGTTGTGCGACTCTTGAGGCTGAGAATGAACGGCTGCACAAACTTGGACCAGATAATTTGACAGCTTAGACATCAAAGGCACTTGCCTAGGATAGTTTACTTGATTCCTCTCATTATTATACGAAACACTCTCCAATGAAAACGGCTAAACACCATATATCCTTTGTTAAAATGAGAAATTGAATTAGCTCCAAACTTTATTAATCCTGGCCGTGATGTTGACTAAATAAGGATTATGAATGCATATTATAGTTTGCGTTCTCCGGATGACTATCACATTGATCAAATAACAACCACGTTTTTGTTGCAATTTCAGGTACCTTCACCGCCCCTAGTGTTCGTGTTTTTGCATTGTTCCCTAACTGCCTGATTCAAGATGGAGAGGTGTCAGCTGGGTATCGATTCGTCTTGGGTCATTATCGGCCAATGAAATCAGAATTTTGTGTAGGAATGTGTTATGATGAGGTGTGGTACTTGTGACTCAAATTTCCACATCACTTGTTTTGAATTTGTCCTTGATAATCGACTGCAAAATTTGATTGCACACAAATCCAAAATTAATTACATTGGCAGTACTTACTCCTTGTAGACAATTTCTTTGGCCCCGTCAGGAAGTGTACTTTTTACTGCACCGTCGGATGCATAGTTGTATAACTAGTGGTATGCAAATGTTTGGAACATTTTTTTAAAAATTAATTTGAGTGGAAAACTATCGAAATAACTAGTTACGGGCTGTGAAGTCATCGCTACAAAATTCTATGAAGGATTCACATAACAGATAATGGGGAACATAGTTCGCCTAGATTTACAATGAATTGAGAATTACTGCATCAAGAAGTAAATTACAGTCACTTACGATTGTACCATCTTCCAGTGTCTGCTTGGCATCACTGTTGGAGGGACAAACCTCTGACAAGACCCCATCGGGGCAAATTTCTTTCGTTGTACCATTACCATACACCCTTGCCCTTGAACTGTCACGATACAGCCTTTCCAACTAAAATCATGATAATGCGATTGTACAACAACTATTTAGAAAAGGTTAACATAGATTAGTAAACACTCTCTCTAACAGAAGAGCTCATACCATGGAACCGGATCAACGAAGTAACGTCAATATTTTTGCATCAAAACAACGCAGATTCATGAATTCAGCTAAGTTGGCATTATTGAGGACTGGTTTACAAAGTTTTGTGTGATAATTTTGCTTCTAGAAGAATTTCTAATGGCACTAAATGAAGTATGCGGTTAGGGAAAATCTTGCATAAAACTTCTCTAATAGGCAACAGCATATTTATTGTATACGGTTACAATTGTAAACTAAGATATAGTGAGACAGGAATAAAAATCATAAGCAAATGTGTTGACTGCACATCAAAGAACTAAGTTTGATAAAAATACATTTGAGAGCTTACAGAACCGTCTGGATGATAAACTTCGTGAATGACGGGTCCACGATTCCGATCTGGAGCCGCACGTAACGGACGACACAATTGACTAAATCCCAAACACAAAGAAAAAAAAGACGACTGCATAAAAATGGAAGCGCAACACCAATATCGCAATAAATTGGCTCACTTTGTATTGGTATCTTCTCTGCAGAATTCCAAAATATCCGAGGATGTCCGTGCTCCCTGCTGGGACAAGCCTGTAGCAATACTAGTAGGGGGGTGAGGAAAAACGCAGGCAGACGGCGATCTGGGTGACTCCTTCATGGCTCCTTTAGCCAAATACGCACCGGTGGATCTGGAGGGGGATGGTTCCGAGGGCATAGCGACAAGCCTTTCAGAGTTTGTACCGGCAGAATCTGCTCGCGCCTTCGCCATCTCACCGTTTAGCGAGTCCTCCAGGGTCTTGGCGTGCGAACTGATGCCAATGACCTGTGGAACAGAACTGAGCCGGTTCTGACTCTTAGAGCCATGGGAGAAAAAAAAGAACCCATAACACATCTTAAATTATAAATCGGCATTGTACAAACCTAAAAATTAGTGATGAATTAGTAATATTTATGTAAGACATGAACATTCAGGAAGGGAGAGTACTTAAATAGCTAATCGAAAACCGCAATTAAGAATACTCAAAACTAAATATGCAAACTAGGTTGCAAGTTGTGAGGAACATATTTGTTACAGCATTACTGATACCTCATGACAGCGATAGAGCAATGCAAACCAAAGCCACAGCAGCAAAACTTAATGCATGCGGTGGGAGGCATATCGTCACAGATTTTAATGGAATGTTCACGAACACGTATCGATTAGTCATTGATGAGCTTTGTGGTTTCAGTTTGAAAAAATGCGATGAAGCATCACAGTTTTGACAAACCCAATTCAGCCAATATAATCACATTTTTGTGGAACTGATTTAAAGTTTTCAACGCCTGGTTCGCCCTTTCCTCGACGACCGTGCTCCGCAGCATAAGTCGGGCCTGTTCCAGCCGTTTAATACGCTCAACAAGTTCAGTTTTTTCAGCAGTCAGCTCTTCTATTCGTATTTTTTGCCAACCGAGTTGATGCTGGAGACGTATTTCTCGTTGTGCAGCCTCTGCCTTCTCCTCACAAATCTACATTGGAAAAATGTGCTTTTAATTCACTCGCAACTGCACTCACTGGTGGAATATGAAATAATTTTTGAAAATTTTGTGACACAAGGCAAAAAATTAGTCTCTGTAACAGATAACTTTCAAGGCCTTCAAATTGAACTCTTGTGAAAATATAGGTCTATGATCGTGTTGGTCCATCTGAGCTGATGATAGTAATCGGAAATTTCTGTTATTTTGTTAATGGAATCAAGTGACTTCTGTGGAAAGTATTAAACGCCAACATCTACCTGCTGCTTTAGTCGCTCAATTTCTTCACGATCACGCTTTTGCGGCATTGAATGCAAACTCCTTTGGTAGTCGCATAACACCTTTCGGTCCTTTCTATAGACGAGCCAAAAAGTGGGCTGATGTCGGATAGGGGCCAACGCACAATTGATATATACTTATTAAAAAATGTTGGTAAAATGTTAAGAGATCGATTATTACTGGAAGCTCTCTTTGACCGATTAATCACCTGAAGCAGCTTAAAATGGTCAGCAAAATAATAGGGAATTAGTTGGCGTTGAGACCTGTTCATGAAGCAAGCGCAATTTCAAAGGCGGCTCATGTCGCTTATTAGGAATTCCACCCCAAGGTCCTAATAGTGTTATGTCAAAAGTCTAAACTTACGGGAAGTCAGGGAAAAACAGTTTAGTGGATTAGCAAACGTACTTGAGCTTGATGATCTCCTCCCGTCGGAAGGTCTCGAACTCCTTCATCGTAGTTGCCCTGTATTCCTCGAACTCCTTTTTCTCTTTCTTCAGTGCAGAGAGAGCCTAATTTGCCGGAAGCACCATATATTCAATTTAAAGCATAAATAAAGACCGAGAAAACGACCATATCTTGACATGGCTGTATTTCATACCCACCAAACGTATATCAATTGGCAAACTTAAAGGAAAAATATGTACAGTGTCGAGAATTTTTAACAATTGATCACGAATTTAAATGGATACTGTGTGCGTTATGCATTCGCAAACTTCATTCTTTTAAATCAAACAACTACATTAGCATCTAAGTGAGAAGACTAAACAAGGCCAAGACACGAGATGACTGGGAACCAAATAATCATTGACTCCAGCAGAGGGCGCTCAGAGTCCAAACGCCAATGTCACCTACTTCCTCTCTTTCGGCCTTAAGTTTTACCAAGGCTGTGTTTTCGCTGTTGAAACGATTAACTTCAGCCTCCAGACGCGCTATCCAAATTTGGATAGTGGACGGAGACGGACGGTCAAAAACGTCACTGCCCTGATAGAAAGGGAAAAAGCGAACTATAAATAAATAACTGTTGCTAAAAATTATCATGATGATGAAGGCAAACAATTTTACGAATGTAGAAATGGCATGGAAAAGAAAAATTACAACAAACTGGCCTCCAAAGTCTACTTTTGAAATGTATCAACGTAATAACTGTGCACAAACCTACCAGCGTGTAGAAAACGTAGGATTCATAATTCACTTACTGAAAATATGCCTCTTAAGATGAATGACAAAGGGTGGTGTTTGTGAAAAATCTTCATAAATTACCGAGTTCGAGCCGCCATTGAAGGAATTTTTATCCCCAAGTTTAGGCCGATGACAGTCAGTCGGCATGTTGAAGCGTACGCTAGGAAGAGGCTGTCGTCGGCTAGAATTCGTATCTTATAAAATAAAAATCAGGAAGAAAGATTTTGGAATTAAAATCAGTCAATTCAATAGGCAAAAACCCTTTAAATGAGGCACTCTGTTAAGACGATAGGCTGATAAGCAAATGAACACTAACGTTTTACCGTAGAGTAAAGCACTGGCCATCTTTCGAAAACGAATGTACTTTGTTGCTAACATGGTTTTTTTAATCAATTAACAAAGTATAGGCATAATTTTTACATATACGTATCTCAGCAACGTTTTGTAGATTCAAATTGGAATAAATTAATCTAAATAAAAACTAAATCACCAAAGTTTATGAACGGATAACATCTCGTACTATGCCGTCAGCAAAATCTTACCCACTGAGGCTTCAAAATTCGCCTCATCCTTCCATGGTACGTGGTCATCCAAATCAGGAGAACTTGATTCTATTGCAGGATGAGCATTCTTGACAAGGGGGTTTTGAGATAAAGATTGGTAGCTTTTACAGTGGGGACGTTTGGGACACTCCGAATCCATATGGTTAGCATGCAGATTGCAAATGAAGCGATGGGTCCTACAAGATTAAACGACATCCAAAAAACATGAGACACCACTGTTAAGTGGGTTTAAAGTGGATTCGACCTCAAAGAGTAGTATATAGGCAAATATGTGACCCATCTACGTTCTACATGAAATTTTCAGGAACTATTTAGTATATTGAAGACGTTCCCAAGGATTAAAATCCTGCAGTTACAATCTTAACGTAGGAAGCAATGATAAATCAGGCACAGCTAACAATAATGTCTAGTAGTACGGTACGAGGAAGCTTCTTGTTTATCTTAACAAAACATTGGATAATAAAAAAGTCAGCCTACGCCTCCTTAGATTTGTCTCCATCGGCTAATTGTCGACTATTTCTTGGCAAATTATCTTCATCTAGAGCAGGAAGAGAAGCAGACTTCCCCACAGACGCTGTTACATCAACTGTCCCGCTCGACCGCCCACCAAGGTGATTTCTTTCAAGTTCACTGTTGTTATGGACGTATGTGTGCTTTTCAGTAAAACGTTCGAGAAACTCAAATTCTTTAAGCTCTCTGTCGTCACCAACAAAGTCTGCTTTGGCATCCTCATTCACAACCAAGCCCTCCTTTATATCATTTTGAAGTCCCGTTTGGTCGTATACTTTACCGTTAAAACCATTCAAAGCGTCGAGTTTTGCAATAAAAGCACTACACTCCATTGATTGCCCAGAACATTCTTCAGAGTTCTGACAATCATATTTCCTTTGGAATGCTTCACAGTTTGTTGGATTATGGGTTTGATTGACCGTGGAAACAAGTGGGGGGTTTGATGCAGGTTCAGGGGCTGCTTTCCCTCCCAAAGGACGTAAACGAGAACACCACGCACCACGACCCTGATTTTTACGCAAAAACGGCCGCTTCATTTGCTCCGTAAATTTATCGGAGTTCTGGAACACATAAGAACACACCTGGAAATGGCATTAGGAATGCATGATAGGCACGTTAAATGAAAAGGTTGAAACAGCATAGACCAAAAAATCTTGATAGTACTCGCTACAAAAGCCAAAACTAATAAAATTGAGTTAGGATAATTAATTTTGGGACCCAGTTATTCTTGATTTACTGCCATTACAAATTTTAGCCTTCAGGATATTTTAATAAACCCCACATAATTGCACTGAAACTTACGTCCTGTTGATTTATACTTTGGACATTTTGGTGGCATTCCAGCACCTTGGCTGCTTTTACACCTTTGTTGTTGGTGTCAGTAACGTCTTCTTGAACTAACTTGGTCTTTGAGGTAAGACGCTTCTCCATAATAAAGCTTTCCAGTGTTTCCTCGAGAGTGTAATCTAGATGAACACCAGAACAGAATTGGGATTCTTTAGAACACTTTCTGAGGCAAGTAATCATACCTAAACACTGCTCTCAAAACCACCCACCGATAACACATAGTGCACTTATATTTCGCGCCTAAAATAAAGAACATTAAAATAATTGTACATCACTCATGAAGTCAAGCGCATTTCCTTTCTAAAAATATTAATATAAATATTTTTAAAACTGCGCAAAAAGGTTGTTATGCTAAAAATGATATCAAGTAGCATATCCTATTTTTTAGTGATATTTTGAAATTTATTCTATGAGTTCCTATTCCTAGACGTATTCTACAATGGTATTAGTATTGATTCAGAGAAACAAATGGCTCAGATTTTATTGTTACTTACCAAAAAGCTACTTGCATGAACCTCAGAGATAAATAATCGTGACATTCGCACCGTTTTTCCCTCTCCGGAGCTCTACGTCTTTTGTAGGAGCTTAAGCTATCAGGGTAGTCCGGATGCTAACCATGAAACGTCAGTACAGTCTGCAGAGACCTAAGTGCAGGACGAGTCTCGCTCATACCCTTAGAACACCCAGGCTGAAGTGATTTTGACATGTTTATTGCTTAAAGTAAAAGAGTGATACAAATTTAAGAAGATTTGGACCCGGGGCTTTTCTCTGGGTTGGAAGATGTTGACAGCTCAATCACGGAATCCGTTTTGTCCACTCGCCTCCTTTTTAAAAGGAATATTTTTGGAACATAAGCGTCCGCGTGATTCGGCACGGAGTCAAACAAACTGTTAGAGCCTTAAAATTCTGTCCCTGGATTCATGTCCTCGGGCCAAGAACATTGTATGGATGGAAACATATTGCACTGTACGGTGTACTGATGTTACAATTTACCAAAGACTTAAGAGATTAAGCATGTGTTTCTTTGGTAAGTGATGCTGTTGTTTAACCGCGGAAATACTTTTTAGCCCTGCAAAATGCTGTTGATTTCTGTAAGCTCTTGGAACTAGAGCACTTTGCATGATTTTACTTCTAACGGCATCGACTTCTTGTATCACTTCATTGGACTCTTAAAGTAAAAAAACTATTACAATCTTGATACTATTTTTAACTAAACAAAAACAAGCAAATTAACCATTTTCTTCCCAGACTACCCTAGTGACAGAAGAAGACGAATCTGGGCAGAACATGTATTGTCGACCTAGAGGGGGTCTTGGGAACTCCTTGCATGGCCAAAAGTCTAGGCCGCCCATCTGGCCCGTTACCAAAACCGAGGGTAAAACGAACTATTAAAGTGTTAGGTGAGTGCATTATAGTGGTTTCAGAGACTTTTCACACTCCGCAGATTTGCCTTTTTGAGTCTTTCCTTACCTTTAAGCATTGTAGTTTTTTTATTTTCTAGAAGAGCTTTACCATCATTTCAGCTATTTGCATTTTGGCACTTTATTTCTTTTCTGACTATAATTTAAGTATTATTTGTAAAATGTCTTTCACGTGAAATTTGTATGGTGTAATAAAAACGCGATCCCCTCATTAGCCGACCAAAACGTGGAAAAGTTTTATATGGGTCACGTCTCGATTTTACGTAGTTCTTGTGCAGCTCGGCCACTTTGTTTTTGGGGATACTTTTCTGTAGTAAATATAACATTATCTTTGATTAAAGGTGATGCTCTTTGCAGATTAGTACATCCGAGGGACCTAGGTCATGCGACATTGTATCGCCACGCGGCTATTTTGAAGCAGCGCAGCACTGTGGTAACCCATTTTTAGTTGACAGGAGGGCTGAATTCTCTAGGCCTGGGCGGGAGGCCATGCTGTAAGTTGGAATTACAAATCTCGACAACCGAATGACTCTCGTAATTCAATGCATGTTACAACATGTTTTACACTGTGACAACATGTATTTTCTTTCACGATATACCTAACACATATTGGTGACTTACACCGTGATGTCCTTTCGCTTTTCTTTTTTCGTCCATTTAACCTCTTCAAGGGGGGCGTTTAAGAGATATGTTTGTTCTGTAATTATTAAGATGCAATATTTCTACGATGGCTAACAATTCTCTCGAAATTACTGACTAATCAGCTGCCATTTGTTTTGCAAGAAGGCTGTAGGTCTAAATAACATGACGGTTGTTCAATCACTAGTTATTCGTGTGATTCCAGAATTAGAAAAGGGAAGTATGGTTCCCAGAAATAAACTTTTTGAGTCGCCACCTACCTATTTATCAATTAACTGAAACACTATCCTTTTAGTTTGCAAAATGTAGTTGCATTGAAATGGTTTGGTATAATACTGGCTACGAAGTTGGGGTTGGGTAAAACGATTTATTATAAAACCCTCTCTCTGCGTCGCTTCTAATTCGCCCATGCACACATCCCAAACACGTCTTCTTTCTTCGTTCAAGCTAAGAACTTTAAAATTCGAATAGAGAAAAAAAGGACAGTCCAACAATCTTACTGGATTACGGAGGTGGTGCAGAGATTTCCAGGTAAATCAAACGGGCTGGAGCTCACCTGCAGAGTTCTCTAACGACTCACATGTCAAAAATTACAGCTGCTGGTCTTCCTCCCACAATTTTTCGTATGCCTTCTGGATCTTAGCCCAAAATCACGGCAGACCTTGAGTAATGCTAAATAAGATTAGTGTAAAAAGTCTCCAGAATCTGATATACGGGACCCTTTGTGGTGTAACACCAAAACCGGTCCGTGGGAAGAGTACGGAGCATATCACTTCAGTTCATACCAATAAACAACTCAGAAATTACCCCGAAAGGGGAGTACGAACTGTTTAATGAGTCCAAGGGAAAGTGATTGGAACAGTTTCATTTAACGACAGCAGCAAACTCCAGAACAGTATTGAAGACATCCAAGTAGTGTTTTAGATGTCCATTCGAGCCTTACCCGTGCTGCTGACACCGAGTGAACAGAACTAGGAAAGCTTACGATTTCCGTCTGGGAAGAAAAACGGGCATGGAGGAACAGGTGTGTGATAGATGCCGGCGAGGTCGAACCGGCCTGATTATCACATAGGTGCATCTCTCTTCCACCTCTAGAAAGGCAGACTACGCAGTAGATGAAATGCTCTGCGTCAGAATTAGATTCACCTCTGTCTCATAAAGGTAAAAAAACAGTAATACAAATGGATGCTGAAGAAGATAAAGAAAAGTTAATATTTGTAATATATGATAGACTTTATCCTTTTCATACTATGCCTTTCAGACTTTACGATGTAGCAACTGCGGCGTCCTGACCAGATTGATGATGAAACATTGTCCAATCTATTAAGACGGTCTCCAAAATTTTCAACAGCAAGATGCCAGTTCAGAATACCGAATGTGTTCAATTAGGAAATGTTAAATCCCAACCAACAAAAGCTTCTTAGGTTTCTAACGGTATTTATACCCCATGGAAATTATTTGATGGAACAAAAAAGAGCAGGAGTACAACTTTGAGTGAGTAAGCAAATGGACCTCCTAAAACAGTAAAGCAAATGCTGCGCTCTGCCGACCCTGGCACTTGAGAGAAAAATTCGCCTACCACTAAACTTGGAGCTGCTAAACGTAGTTTCGACAACAAACATATGGATCACCCTGTAGATGTCACCAGTAAAGCCTTCAGTCGACAATCCACGAAATTTGGCAAAGTATGTACCCATTCGTCTTCTTCTCTAATAGTAAAGTGGAAACCGGCCTGGAAATAAGGCCCAGTTTCGCCCTTTCAGAAAACGCATCTACTGACCGACGAGCGCAAACACTGGGCATATGAACACGCACCTATATCACCGGGATGCTGCGACACCTGGATCGACTTTCATTCTACTCTCGCGTATCTTTTTAGACAAACAAACCTCGTAAATCAGAATATAACAATAAACTTCACGCTATTCTATGCGTGATGGAATTGTATTTACAAATGAAGTCGGAATAATATATTTAAATGCTTTTATATGTATAAGAGATGAATATGGTGAGAAGTTCAGTTTCGTACGGTTAATGCAAAGGGTGTCGAGAAAGTACAATTAGGATGTGGAGATTTGGATAGATTCGTCTATGTCTTCCTCGAAAGGTTCACTTTGTCCCACGCTCACAGTGGCTTCCTCAGACGTCAGTTCAGCAACAGCCGCGGAAGACTCATCAACCTAAATGGAGAAACAGAACTGAGTAAACTCGGACTAATGTACCTATAACAAATATGACAGAATCAAATTTCACAAACAATTTGCAAAATCATGATAGACTAACGATAGTAGCCATCCTTCTTCTTATGGCTTTGCACGAAAAAAACGCACCTCGGACAATCCAGTTTCACCTGCAACCACAGTCACCAAATGCGGATTTGGTGTTACAGCTCGAACCACACCTGAAACAACCGAATGTTTATTTTACAGATTAAATAACGCTCCAACTTATGAGAACGAAAGGCAGCTTCGAACACCAACTGAGTTTTGCATTTAATTAGAATAAAACATAAATTGATTGACGATTCCTACCGGCTACGTAAAAGTGGAATTTGATATGGATTCGTTCACATATTCAGCTTGAATGGCGAGAAATCCTAAGCTCACTTGGGCGAGTATTCCCCACAGAATGGGCATTGTTCTCATCAGCCAAGTCGCTTGAAGTAAAGAAAAGGGAACCTGTGCAATCGGGATTAGGTGGGGCAGCGATAATCGCGGCAGCCGAGGGTGTCACTGGCAGAGACGCAGCAGACTGTGAGAAAATTCGCGAGGAGTTCGTTGATGTGAAAAGTCGATGAGCGAGATTCGGAGGAATACCACCAAGTACAACCGTAAAAGCAGGTGGAAAAACTGAGGGCGAACCGTTGCCGTCAGGCATGGTTGCGTTACCCTTACCCAGTCTGGAGGCAGGAATCTTTGCCAAACTACTTAGCCGAGCTTCATATCTGACCTCCAAATCCTTCTGATTATCGCCTATGGTGAGAATGAGTAAGTGAAAAATTCCACAATTTGTAAGCATATACAGCAATTTAAAAATAAAACAAAACGCTCAGTCAGAACACGACAACAGAACTCTGTAGACAAACGAGGTCGTCCGAAATAACGTACTTTCTGAACAGCCATTATTCAAAGAAGGTCCATCAAGAATGAGATTTGAGGCGCCAACGCCACTTCCGAAATTCTTTATGGGCCGAAACGACGTCCTATTCTCCGAATGCACTGAAACATGCATATTCACCTGAGCAGTGTCAAGTGAGAGGGAATTTGAAATGTGGCATTCTGAAGAAGCTGAAGTAGACACGGCTGCCGCAACCAAATGATGCATATCAGGCGGTTGTGCTGTCGTAGTTACTTTAAAATGCGAAATACGCACAGATATATTTATTACGACACAGAACAAAGCAACATGTTTTCAAGCTTGGGTACAAAACTAATGTCCATAAGAAGAGGGATAAACACTAGTTACCAAGTATATGGAAATAAGAATGCATTTAAACCGCTTACCAGAAAGAGAGAAGTCATCATTCACAGTCGAATCCGTAACTGAAGAGGTATCCATCCGCATTCCTCCCATTCAAACAGTACCAAGCTGCATCCCAAAAAAAGAGAAGTCAAATAGAAGAAAAACATTGGTTCCACAGAGTGGCGCAATAGCCAGCCTGTGGGAAAAGAACAATTTACACAATTGGGAAGTAAATAGTTCAACAAACGCAACACGGTAGGTTTTCAACACGACAATAGCAGAACAATGCCAGCCTTATAAACGTTACAGCAACTAAAGAGGCTCACGGACCACCACATTTCGAACCGTAAACACAAAACCAACGCTCACATAGCGGTGAACAAATCCACACACCAATCTGAATAGCTGATATTTGTTAAAAGAAAATTTAAATAAACGTAAAAACCCGCACTTTGTGGAAATACCTGCTAGAGTTCAGGAATCAATTCGTACAAAATAGACACAGACTCGAGCTCAAATGTTGCAATTTCGGTTTTACTGATGTGTCGATATTTGTTTTAATATACCGTGCAGGTGAGAAGCGATCTGTGACCAAGAATTTCATTAGGGGATAGTCGACATCCTTCCGCGGGGAGAAGTGCACTCTGTACATCCCCTTGATCACTGTACCTGATCATAACATTATCAATAAAATGGCCCTACTTAGCCTACTCGTTCCAAGGGGGTGAAGGCAGAGGAGAAAGCGATGGTGGGGTCTATCACACGTCTTCAAGGGGAATTTACTTTGGCAAAAATAGTGGTGTTAAAAAACTTTTGAGGGTGGCACGATTTTGCTTAATCGTATCAACTTAGCTGTGAGGTCTTGATGATTGCACTAGATTATTTTGTTGGCCTACTTAAGGCTATGCGCAAAGAAGCTTAATAATTGTAAAGGTGTGCTGTAAAATCCGATTGTGGTTTAAAATATCTCCAATAATTGCTCGTCAGTGCATGGCAAACATCCTGTGAGCAAATATAACAAGGGGCATATTAGTGTATACCAACGAATACCAAAAAGATCAGCATCACAATCGTTCCAATGTGTTTAGCTACGTCTCAAATCAAAGATTTTATTTAGACCAACATATGTGAAAGCATAATTTTGTTTTAGTATATATAATGGAGAAATATTGTTTTAATTATCGTCGAAGTTGGTACGAACTGGTTGTTATTTGGCTCTGTCTCCTTTGCCCCTAGGTTTTTAATTCGATTTCTTCAATGTTTGGTTGACCTTAGGTGTCCCTCGAAAACGACTTTTACTCTCAAATCCATCGAGTTCTCCTAGTTCCCCATATTGTTTGTCTGGACGAATTTTGTTGCTAAGTTGTTCTCCTCAGTGACTATGAGCTCGCGTCGTGTTGACATCCGGTAAGAAAGTTTCTCACTTTAACATGCTCAGAACTACTCGCAAGGCGAGGCCTCTTCCTGAATTGAACTCTCCGTCAGACTCGGGTGATATCAAAAATGTTCGGTACGATCTTTTTAGTCAAGTTCAGTTTGATAGTTATATTTCACCCCAAACAAAAACGAAGCAGAGGTAATGTGACATTTGTGCTTACAAATTTACCAGTTCCTGCGTTTTTTCCGGCATCTCTCGCTCTCGGAGAACCGTCAAAAAGAAATCGCCGTGTGCGAAGCAAAAGTCATCAAAAAATATCGTTCTTGAATTGAATATGGATGAGATTTCCCAAACTGATGAGACTACGAAGTCTCGACGTCGTCGTTTGGATGCCAATGATTATATTCGTCGTCGGTTTTTGTATGATGATGCTCCCATCGAGAAACTCGCAACGCCTAAGCTAGCAAATGTGCACAAACGTGCTGTATCTCATGACGTGAAGTTTCGAAATTCACCGCTTGCTCTGATGGCTGCGTCGTCAGCGAATCTCCAGAAGAGACGCAAAAGGTTTCACGGCAAAACTTTGTCACCCGCTAATCAATATCGTGGTCGTAAGGGAAGAAGGCCGAAACCCATAATTGCAGGCCTGGTTGGCCAAGATAAATCAACGGAAAATTTGTCTTTGTCAGATGGTGGCAGCTCCGCTGATGAGCCTATTTCTGTTGAATGCGGCAACCAAATAGCTGAAAGTTATGCAGATCACGGCCTGGAAATGGAACATGATGAAAATTCTCACTTACTTAAACCGCTTTTTCGAAAAATACATAAAAAGAATGCGTATAAGCATGATGTGGACTCCTCCTCAGATGCTCTCCAGGTTGGCTAACGAGCAGTAGCAATTGTGCCTTATTTGAAAGCCGTGTAATAATTTTTACATTGCGCATTTTGTGTTTCGCTCCATTTTTGCTTGGATTTAGTTCAAAACCTTAGTTTTAGTTGGGTAAAAGTGTCACATTTAGGCATCAGTGACTAATTTTACAGGGGATATTTCTTCTACCCATTTGATAGAGTCATCCTGATTATGCTTCGGATCTTCCAGGCTTCTTACTTAATGACGATATGAATGATTTTACAAGGAGTCGGGGTCCTCTTGTCTTAAGTAAACGCGCCCGTCATCGTCTTGTACCTCGACCATCGCCCCCAAGGGATGATTTTATCAAGCAAATGACGGAGTATCCAGGTAGAGAATTCAGCCTAGTGTTTACCATTCTTCCAATCTTTAGTAGGTAGTTTGTATTTTGATTCTGTTGATACGGGGTATTTTCCATTAAATCGATTTCTAGAATTTGGATTGCCGGATGCAGACGAAGCCTTCCGACACCAAGTTCGCGGCACCTTTTCTTTAGATCAAATTGTTTCAGCCGGTGCGGTTATTAGAGAGGCAAATGCTGAATGGAGTGGTCACGTGGAGGAGTCGGTGGATTCCAGTTCGACAAATCCTGCGAAACATTCTGGTGTTGAGATTGAGGATTTTGCTGGGGATCTTTTGCATCAAATTTCTACGGCTGTCAATTGCCCTCCGACATCTGGCAGTAGTCGGCGCAAGTCTCCAATCCGCCCCATGCAGGTTCTGCGCAATGAACCCATATTATATCATACAGAAAATGGTGGCTCCACAAGGTTGGTAATGCCTTCCGTTGGTTTACCTGTTTTTTTTCACAATAGTGTTAACGCAGCAGGTGCAACTCTTATCCAGCAGAAACAGTTGGTTTCTTCGTTTTCTCAATCCACTGGTAGTGAAACTGTTAGCACTGTAGCCGCAGGTCTGGTTGATTTGTGCGCTGCAGCGGGTCTTGATTCGACTGCCTCAAATCAAACGCAACTGTCTCATATCTCAACTGAATGCACTGGCTCTGGTGAACACTCCTCTCAATCCCTTATCTCCAATGTGTCTCAGTATTCCTTGATCAATTCGAATTTGGTTTCCCTTCAACCGGGTGGTAAATGCCTTCGTATATTATTGTCAATATTCATTAATTTTCACCTGGAGCTTCTATTTGTCAATGTTTGATGCGTTAACATTCTTACTGGCAGTCAATTTTGGTGATCTCAACGTATTTTAGGAAATAATTTCGCACTCTTGGTATCTTTATAGGCCGTATGTATGTGGAGGCGGGTCCTCGAACTCCTATTGCCGGATACACTGTCACTCCTACCACCCCCGTATCCAGAGTCTCCCTGATACCTGGTAGATTCAATTACGGACAGCAATACACCCTTTCCAGAATGTCTCATTCAACCAGTGGGACTAAATCAGTATCTACCACCTCAGTTCCTGCAAATTCCTCCGCTAATTCCAGCTCCCGCAGGCGCCCGACCATATTAAAGCGTGGAACCGTCCCTACTTCCTCTTCGTCGGCCAATCCAGTTTCCAAGATATCAACGGGATATAGCGGTACCTATTCTTCATCCCGGATAAACCTATTATTTTCTTATACGTCTATTGGGCTTGAGCTGCTTCTTATCGACCGTTATTTCACGGCAGGCGTCTACATACGAATATTTCAGGACATTAACATTTGTGTGAATCGATGCTTATTTTCCCAAATAGTTGGCCTTAAAACACTTTAGCTTGTTAATCCTCCCCAGTGCCTCGCCTCCCTCCACCCTTCATGCGTACTGCATTGCGAAGCGTTCAGGCGTCGTCTCTGGTTCCCGGTGCACAGCAATCAGCACGATCTGTGACTTACACCATCGTCTCTGCAGCTGTATCTGGTCAACCGAATGTTTTTGCTGTTGCGCCGACGTCAATTGGCGCTAATTCCTCCACTTCACAGACAGCCAGTTCACGACTCTTTGGACTCAAACGTAATGTTGGTTCTTCTCCAACTACAGAAGCAAGATCGATTGCGTCGTTCTCTTCGCCTTCAAACCTTACTCTAATTTCCTGTTTGCCTACATCTTCGCTAGTCTCTTCTGGTATGTTTCGTTGCGTTTTACTTTGTTGTGTTGAATAACTGTATTGTATCGATTGCTTTCGGATTTTCAGTAATGATATTGTTCAAAATAAAATGGAAATTTGGATTTCACAATTGGATAAATCATGTCGGCGCCAATTTTTGCTACATTTGACTTTGTGACTGGGTTATGATGTTACTAACTGCATAATAAATCCATGAGGTTATGGCTAACAATGCTTAGCAAAATGTCTTCCGCCAATCGCATATGTAGTTGGGGAAATTCTGCTTCATCGTGCTTCAGTGGATTGAAAAGTGTGCATGGTGTTATATTTTAGCTCAACAGCCCGTTAGGTATGCTTTTGTACGAGACGCTAGTGATGGAAAAAAATATGTGCTCCTTGGTGGTAACACCAGTCTAAGTGTTACCGATTACAAAAGTCCACTGCAAGTAAGTTTTGATTTTCTTGGTAATATTTTATCAAGAAGTCTCGGGCATTAGTGTTTTTTAATATTCATTGTCGCATGTATTGCTTACGTTTTGTTTTGTTTCTTCATTAACCAATTACCCTCGACGACATCTGCATATGCAATATTTTTCTAGTCTACCGAAACAACAGATAAGGAAGTTAGATGTGAGAATGACAGCGAATCCTGTGGTAATGGAGATGCATTCATGGCATCGTCTGTTGTCAATACTCCCGCATTCTACTCTCGAACTGCATCATCTGACGTCGACGTGGCCGACAGTAACCAAAATCTGCCTCCCGAACAGACAATAGCAATGGTTTCATAATATTATTGTTTTAACTTAGATGAGCTCCAACTGCATGTATATATTTTAGATACCACATTGTTTCCTCTTTGTACAAATCTGCCTTGTATTTGCACAAATTGGAGACCATTGGTGCTCAACTTTTGCCATTTCGTGGTCTGTCTGGACCTATCATTATGTGACCAATTTCATCGCTTATTGTACATATTCGGCATCTGCGCATTTTAAACACTTCCCATACGTCGTAGCAATTGTTCTGTTCTTCAACTTGTTCAGCAGAACACTGCTGTGAAATAATGTAACAGGCTTTGAGTAAGTGCTTTTTCTCGCCGTAGGTTGGTTGGGCCGCCTCCATGTATAGGTGCCTGGGATGGGTGGAGGAGCTGCATCCAATTGTACTACTCGAGGGTGGTCCTTGTCGAGTAGCCCTGGGACGGTGCCAGAGTGCCACTTAGGAGGTACATGTCGGGTGGAGTAGTAGAAGTGGTCGGTGTTTGCGGATAGCGTGACTTTGCAGTGCAGCATTTTTGACGTCCAAAAGTGCGGTGGTTTGTAACTGGTATGTTGCTAATAGGAGTTTTTAAGCGTTTTAGCACCGTAGAAGGAGTAGGTGCTAAAACGACTTTTAAGCTCCTTCTAGTGGTCCTAAGTTTATCAGTCTACAAGTAAAGGTCCATGGAAATAGCACGATAATTGTGCATTAAGTTTTTTATGTAAGCGTAACTGTGCGATTAGCAATACTTGATCATCAAGGGCTGAAACGTTGTAAAATCCCTTACTAAAATATCTTTCTCCCACATTAGTTTGGAGGTATTGAATATACACACCACTGACGAGCAATTACTGTGTTAAATACGATTATCATGATATGCATTTTTATGACCCTTAAACTAGCGATGATGTAAGTCTGCCAAATTAGCCCCTTCTTTTAACCCACGAGTGCACTTGAACGTCTTACTTGATGGTAGATGTACCTCGTACCTCCACCGATCTTGCCTATAGGTTATATCATAATGCGTGTAAGCGCTCACTTGGTCAACGTGTTTTCCATAAAATTCCAATTGCGATGGTTGCATCCCTAGTGAAGTTAGCATTTTTGCGACATCGATTCAAACTGATAAATGGAGGCGCTTTCCTGGATATCGTCAAAAATAGACCAGCTTACAAACCCCTCATAACGGTTTCAAACCATTATTCATGTCTCGATGACATCATTTTGTTTGGGCAGGCTCTGCCTTATAAATTGCTGCTTGATGGTATGGATTTGAGCTCTCTATCAAAAGTTAAGCCGATAGACTCAGGTGGACCTTGGCCGCTGTTGATATTTGTTTCGTGAACAAACTATATAGCGTGTTCTTCAGCTCTGGTAAGGGAATCCCAGTGTGGAGGCGTGTTCGGGACCCTGAAACAGGAAATATCGTGCTCTCGGGACTAGGTGTTTATCAACCCAGCATGGAGTTCTGCCTAGATCTGTTGAATGCCGGACATTGGATCCATTCGTTTTCGCAGGTTTCGTCAAGATTTTGTTCATTGTTGCTTAATGTGTGATAGTGGCCTAAGCGATTAATCATTGTGACTTCCAAGAGGTCATCTAAATTGGTTTGAAGTTTCTCTAGGAGACTGGTTTGAATGTATGCTTCTTGTTTTAGAAATACAAAGGGATCTCTAAATTTGGCACTTTAAGTCCGTTTTGATGAGAATTATGCTTTATGTTTTAAGGGTCGCGTGATTATGCCGTGTGAAAGAGATATTGAGACCACCATTCGACTCCGATGGGGTGTTGGGCGTCTTTTAGCAGAAGCTTCCGTGGTACGTTGCGTAATCAACCAAGCAATGCATTGCAAGATTTATTCTTTCAAAGATATTTGTTTTGGCCAGTTAGTATTCACTTCTGCTGGAGTTCCCTGTGCTGTTGAAAGCGCCGAAATTACAGTTGCCCGCTTAAATTTTGCATTTCACTACAAATGTTTTAATTATCTGCTTGTCAAATAATTCGTTTTCGTTAATAGAATAGTTGTCTTTATTCTTTAGGATCCGATAGTCCTTCCAATCTGGCACTGTGGTATTGATGAAATGAGCCCTTGCAAAGAACCCTACGCACGAAACACGCTTGCTCGACTTTTCGGCTCACGCCTAAGTGTGACTGCCCTCGTTGGAGCTCCGTTTGAAGTGGGTAATCTGGTACGAAAATCAAGAGATACCGGAACTAGTCTCTATTCTCGTCTCACGGCATTCGTGCAACGTGCACTGTATCAACTGAAACCAATAGCTGAGGCTGAGCACGCAAAACACATAGCTTCCTTGGAACAATAGTGCACGTATTCCACCTCCCTGACAGAATGCCCATTTCCGTGTTTTTTTGTGTTAAAAATGTTTGTCGTTGATACTCTTTTAGAACAGATTTCTTGCATAGCACTTCACAAGTCATGCTGGATACTGCGCATCAGTATTGTCGGGCAGTATAACTTTACGGGCTTTTGTCTGAAGCAACTTCTGTTAATACCAAAAAAGTATATCGTCTCTCTACCCTTTTGGTATTACAGCGTACTTTCAGGGAATTTGCTTTAATGATTGGGTAACTGAGGGCAGATGTGGGGGGTGGGTAGTTGTCGATTGACCGTGCTGATTGCTCTGCCTGGAATGGCTATTGGTGACCGTGGATCGCGCTCCTAGGAGTATAACTTTTGGGGCACAGAGGACTGAACATATGGGCTTGGGAATTCTATGATTTTCCAGCAATTTTAGCAGTTTCTCGAATGAAAGCGTCGAAGCCGCGTAGTGGTGGGTTGTGGGGTGATTGGAGTGTTGAAAAATTCATCCTTGAAGTTATGGTCCAAGGGGTGAGAACGCAGTGTGTTCATGTAGCGACATTGTTATGAAGAGGCTAAGTACCTATAAGAGGAAGCTTTCCCGGGATATTCTCTACCAGGAAAACAGTAAAGGATGACATTAATGTTAACAGAAATCCATCAGGGGTGGAATTTGTGGGTCACCGTGGGTTTATTTTTATTAGGACGGTTTACTGTAATGCGCGTGGCAATAATAGGCGATTAGTGTCAAAACCCGTTGTTTTACTGATACACATAATCACGCGAAAGTCCTCCGAAGTCTCCACGAGCCATACCTCGACACGAGATTGAAGTGCAGGACGCAAAGGCTACTAGCTCGTGTATCAAAACAAGTATTAAATATGTAAATATGTTCTATGTAGGTGCTCCCAATTTACGATATTTTAACTAATAGTTCGTTACGTTAGAAACGCCTATTTAAATCAGTCAGTATAATTTAACCTTAGTGTGGGCTTATCAGGCAAAAATTCACAAGTTTCTTCTCTTTATGTTGACTCTCCCTGTTCTACCTATCTGGCTAGCGCTAAATACGTCGTCAAATACGGTGCTTTTAGGTTGTCCTATTGTTTCCAAATCCAAAAACCCATTCAACGAATTATTTTAATGTCTCTTGCAACGATACGGGCGTTTTTGAATAATAACTGATACAAATACTACTAATTTTCAGTCATTTTACTGAATAGAGTTCCGATCTATTAGGGCACGACTTTGCTGTTAAGCGATCCAACACGAAACGCACAAAATTGTAGTGCCGCGAGTCCTCCCTGTAACCGCAAGAATTCACAGCAGCAACCCGGAGCACTGGCATGGCCCGAAGACCACACCACCAAGCGAGAGCACAAAAGCGGAGCCTTAAACGTCTGCGAGACCAAAACAAAGAGTTGGACAATCAATCAAAGAAGTACAAATTGTGCGCTTAGCCGAACACGGAGCTAAACAAACTATGTAGTCATCGCATAATTATAATTCACATTGATTGGACCTTTTATGCCTACTCCATGGCTTACAATGTAAGCCATTAAATTAATACCTACCGTTATTCGGACAATAAGTAGAGCGTTCTCGATTACCTGATAATACAAGCAATTTAATCTGATGACGGTCACAAAATCACTCCCTTCCTGTATTCATTGACGTTGCATTGCAAAGTAAACTTCCACTATTAAAAACCACAATATCCACTCATCAAACCTATTGTTCTACAATACCCCTCTTATTACATTGCAAGCAACCCTTTGAAGAGCCCTGAATCAATAAAGTCGGACAGGGTGCCAATGCCCGTCTCCGCTAAATCAATTTCCCCCTCCAGCCATTTGTATGCCTCTGGGATTTAGGTATATCCTTTTATTTCCAATTTTATTCCATGGAGTTATAGGTTAAAATCTCCGAAACTGTATTCTTCCATCAGGAGGTGTATCGAGTTGGTGAAACTCACATCAATTTTTTACTCCCAATGGACTGTGTAACTTATAGCAAATATACTTCGAAAACATGATTTTGGCTGTTTTCCATGATCGGTCAAATTCAATCTCTCCGAGTGACTGGAAAGCCGCATTAAAATCCACCATATAAGCAGAAAATAAGGTACAGATAACAGAACAAAAACCTGCAATCCTTTTCAGACTTCCAACCTCCTACCTTGCCTGACAAACAATAATATAATTGGTAGCTTGTTTTCATCAATGTGTAACACTATACTGTACTATATCAAATTCCAAAACACTGCATTTTCGGCTCATAAAAATGTTTAAAGTAGAAACCCCGGCTATTATCTTGGACCATACCCACCGAGTACATCAAGTTCCTCTCGTCTGTGCAAAAGAACTTCATGTTATTTCAAGAGTAGTCTCTAATTATTGGCGTGACTTGATATACCCGGCAATTATCCACAATATGACGATACTTTATGATGTGAGTCATGATTCTTTTCCAAAGACCGATTGTTGAGTAAGTTCTGCTAAATGGAAGGAAAAATTGCCTGTTTTGCTCCGATGTGTACTAAAAACCACCTTTTCTCCCAATACACTATGGCTAATCGGAAAAGGGCAAAACGAGCAGACTTATGTAAAAGACCGAAGATCTGCGATGTTATCGAAAGTGCGAGTTTGAGCACGTTAATATTTTTAACAAGCCGGGATTTGGAAATCAAAATGTGGTATCATTGTCACCAAACCAGTTCGGATGTGAAAATTAAGTGTGGCCATCATACTCCTCTGTTAACCAGCCACTGATGCTAAAACAGCACATTTTTCAAAATATTTTTAATGAAGTCACCTTCAGTTCCTGGAAAACGATAGAATCCTCAGAGATGCGGGCATAAAAATAGTGGTTCGTTGAACTGAGGCGATGTTAAGCAATGAGATTTATTCAAATAACTTGTTTGTTTTTATATTATTTTCAAAAAGTGCTGCCACTGTAAAGCATGCACATCACTTCAGAACGCCCCGCCAAATTCGTGAATAAAATAGCACATCTGTAGTTTAATTAGCAATAAAGTGATGATTCACGTTTGAAAGAGTACAGTAGTCCTCAATCCGACTGCCACTTTTTACCCAGTCGCTGTCATACTCCTCTGGCGCCAGGGCCACAAACCACAAGCAAATTCATAATTTCACCCATTCCCTCCTTTCCCCATCCGCCTGCCTTGCCTTACAGCGATGGGAGTGGTCGGCAGTCTCCACTCCCCACCCTACACGCATACTCTGCCCACTTCCAATCAGCACGGTCTGCATGAGCAGGGTGGCGTCGTGGGTTACGCGCATTTACGAGCGCCGCAAAACGCCCCTCTTGACTGGCTTCCCCCACTCCACCCCTTGCCTCCACCATCACCGTTTTTGACGCGCTAGTGTGAAGCTGGCGTGTACGGCATAAAGTCAAGCGTCTGCCTCCCATGCAGACGAAGCATTCTACTTCTAGACCCATCCAATTTAATTTCAATCATCAATCCTATATATTTAATGCCTATCTAGATTAAACCACTGTAGCTCACTTGTAGGGAGGATGAGCATTTTATAAGTTTTATGCTTTTTAAGCAGTTTCCGTTTTTTAGAAATTGGTGTTTTTAGTAGCAACGCTTTCCACGTGGTTTTGCAATTATAGAGTCTGCAAAGTGAAAAAAACTGGTTGAATAATATATGCAGGAAAAATAGAACCTCCTCCTACTATTGCCATGCATGAATATTTAATTTGTGCTGAATTAAAGGGACATTTATAGGTTTAATAAAGTTGACTAATTGGACATGAATGAATATGTGACATAAGATGTCACTTCAGTTAACAACGTTAAATGGCATTATTTATGTGTGTTTAGATAAACAGCATTTGTCCTGCTCGCTGAAATTCATTTCTTGCATAAACTGATGCACTCATTCCGTGAAATTAGGCGCTTACACGACCGAAAGCATGAAGTGTTTTGTGTCTGGCTGAAATAACGATGTCTGGCTGTTGAAGGTTCTTCAGCTCAGGGCAGAGAGGTCCAATTTGTCCGTTACCCTCTAAATCGCTTACTACTGCGTGTACCTCCTCATGCACAGTGCAGCAGGCTCGTCTGTGTAGAGGTAACCAAACCAATGTAAACAAATCAGGTTGGGTTATATTTGATTGCTCTTTCACCCTCTACCTTGGCAGCACTAAATTGTATAAACAATTTCCACGAGTCCACACATAAACAATAAAGTTGATATCATTTACACCGACACAGGCACCGAATATGCTCTTTTAAATCAGCACCACCACTTAACAGTCGGTCAAAAATAACTGTCAGAATTCGGACACCTTCCGCAAAGCACAATTTTTAGTTCAAGGATAGTGTTTACTATCTGAACGCACTTACTCCCAACGTAAATTAAATCTCCATATCGAAAGAATGCTGGGTTTTTGGAATTGCATCTTTCTCACTGTAAAATAGATTGGCGTACTAAACGCCTAAATTGCTCTGTTGCAAGCAATAATTTATTAAAAATTGACGAAATCCAGAGCCAATTATAATATTATGCCTGTCTTACTAGATATTAGTTAAAGTCACTGTTTCAAATGATTGTGTCATGACGAAGTAGACACTTTCAAAAACTTTGTACTTCTTCATTTGAACATAGTTCTTGGAAAAGGTGTGTGCTACGATGCAATTATCACCACTGCCCACGGATCTGTAGGAGTGTTTTCCACCATATCTACATATGAATCGGGAAATCCACACAGCTATCGCAATTTCACCGATTCCAACTCCAAATTATCACACATATTCAATGAGGCCGAGGTAAGATTTCAAATCAGTTCGAGTCTCACCTTCCCTACTTCACTCTCCCATGTGGGACAGTGCAAACAAACCTGTCATTAATGCGGTCAGGCTCTGTGCACACACATTTCCTGCGTCGGGCTCTTTCGTACTCCTTATGCTTCTTACTCGTTCGTGACAGTTTATGGCTACACACCAACATCTTCATTAGGCCTCGCTTAATTTCAAATTTAATTACGCCTTGTCGACTCTTCTCCAAAACGTTTGCAATCATTTTAAGTAAACTGTATGATTATACTGCCATTTGTCGCAGCAATTCCATTGTTGCACGACATTTCAGGAAAGACGATTCAAGAAAAGTAAAAAATGCATAAAAGTTTAGCTATTTTTACTGAGGGATGTCGAATTCTGAAAACTCCTTAATAAAATACAGAAATAGTAGCGAGTACAATAGTTTCAAATCACTTCCTTAACTGAGATAAATATTAACAATTAATCCAGTTTCCGAATTAGGGGATGGTAATGGTAAGTAACTATCCATTTGCTTGTGAAGCTCACGAGTAACAGACCACAAAATAAGTCGGTTAGGATAAAGTATCTTAACCGAGAGTATGACTTTTTTTAAGTTTCCAAGCTGTAATTTTGCCTCAAGTTGGGTTAAGCTTAATTGAACTGCATGTTTGAGTATAACAGGTAAATTAGGAGCTAATGTTTTAAGTACTATTACCACCTACTTCACTTTAATACCTCAGTAGTTGCCCAGGTTTGGTTTGGGTTTCCTGTTCAGAATAATGCGTTCTGTTCCTTGTTTACGGAACGTAGATACGCAAGAGGGTTAGTTTACTCCTTCATCTGTAGTCGTAAACATTTATTTCTGTGGAGGCGCTATCAAGCGGTCAAACTGATCCTCCTATTCACACTTATGTGGCCCGATTAACATAGACAGTGGAAGACTATTTTATCTGTTGGGAAGTGTGTGAATTTTTAGCCTTACTTTCACCTTGCAATTTGAAAACGAGCGCAGTAAAAAGGCCGGTACGAAAGCCGATCTCTCATCTCTGCCGATTAATAACAGCCTTCACAATTTCGCACTGAGAGGGGTAGGCTAGCAGCACCATGGATTCGAATTATAGGTCAATAGTTCTCACACGACTGAAAAATTCATGGGTGTTTGAGATTTTCACCATCGCATAATAGAACCCAATGAAAAGCGCGCATTACAGTTGACACACAAAAAATTAATCACTTCGCAATTGTGGAATTTATTTGACCGAAAAACGCATATTCCTTCGATGCGTGCAATCGGTGAAACGTTCATACTTACGTTTTTTTACAGCTAGTACAATAGGGAAAGAATGCCATGCTTAATTCCAAGCAAGGAGCAAATTTACAAACTGGTGATGCTAGTGTTCGACGTTTAGGGGATACATATAGATAATAACTGCTTCGATGAAACTTTATAGATGTGCACTTACCGCTTAACTTATTTTTGCTTTCAATTAAGGGGAAATGTATTACCATAAGACTTGCCAACTACCGAGCAGTATCCTGACAAATATTGCTTTTTAAGTAAGTAATTTGTAACGTTTATTCATTTACTGTTAAGAATACCAGAAAGGAAACACTTGAGGGAGTATATTTATTGCATTCCACTTTGGTGCAATCTATTTCAATAATTTTTGTAGAAACAAACAAACTGGTAATCAAAGTAGAGCTAATGGAACTAAGTCACATCGGAGATGTTCAACCGATCCTTTGAGAACGACGGCTGTTATGAGTAACATACTTTCAGTATAGTCCCTCTTGTGAGTGAAAAAGCAAAAATACGGTAATTGCATTTGCTATTAGGAAGTGGGGAGAGTGGCTTGGAGGTAAAGCAAAAGGTAGGACTTGGTAGCTCAGAAACTCTATCATCGCATCCTCCTCCACTACCCGGTCTACTCACCAACCTTCCGGCTATCTTGATCTGCCCTGGCGCCAGTAGCACGGTAAAAAGCTGAAACTGTTGCTAGGATACATGATGAGGCCGCAGCGAGGGGTGGAGCAATTGCATCTTAATTAAGCCTCTGTTAATGCACACGTGAAGGCTGTGAAGATCTGGGGGATGATAACAGAGGGAAGCAAATGGGTGCACCCGTTGCCCCGCTCTCTCCTCTTCCCCATCTCTATCACTCCCGTCCTCTTGCTTTCCGACCCCGTGCAAGTGTGTAGTTGTGGGACTACATTGTAAGGGTTTGTCGAGGGAGAACGCCTAGCAAAATAGTCGATTGAGGGAAAATGTAATTTAAGTGATGGCGCTAATAAGTTTTGACAAAAGTCTTAAGTATCATAAACCACCGAACAAAGTACAAGTGCAAGTTTCATATCGACAGTACACAGTGGGTATTTAACATGTGAAATACACTGCGAATCAGTCCTACTAAGGAAGGGTGGAAGATGATACAAGCATTGTATTTTTGTGCCAACATATCTGGGTACTGAGTCAGAAAAATAGTTGAAGTCCACGCCTCCTAATGAGTGCATTTAGTTGGTAACCAACGTATTAGAAGAATCGTTGTTAAGTCAAAATTGAATGTCTTCGTATGTGCTATTCCATTTTAGGCAAAGTTAAAATTTTAGCTGCACTTTTAAAAATGTTGTCCAAAGCATAAGAATGTGAATGCTCACGTAACTATTGGTAGTTGTTAAATAAAGGGGTTACTTAAACGACCTCCTACAAAATTGCAAAGATTTGGAAGTTTCTAGGATATGACTGTGATACTACCGATAACAGATTGCTTCGCGTCCATAATCATATAACCTGCTATCATGTTACTTACATAAATACGGGACAGGTACAGTGACTGCATTGTCCTAGCAACACCACCTCACACCTGTTTGCCACTTGACGCACATGCACGTGCGTAGGGGGCAAGGAAGAGAGATGATGTATCACTTCCTCCCTTCTTCTTTTAGGACCCACCTCTCTCAATCGCCAGCGTCTTGCCATGGGTAGATCATTGTCCCGATAAGTTGGTTAACTACAAACTCTTGATTCATCTCCAATCCACCTGTTAATATCCATTAGTGGAGTAGATGCTGACTCTGACTAAGCTCTTGTACTTAAATGTTATTAAAGATGCGGCCGACTTTGAACTTAGCAACTAAATTTGTTAAAAAAATGAGGAAACAAGTAGAGGAAACTTATTGTATCGAATTTTGAATTCCTTCACACCAATCAGGGCTATCAAAATGTGTGTTACATATCGAAACGTGAACGTAAATTGCTCGGCATCAAATCACGCAGTTTACCATTTTGTTTGACATTAATGAAAATAATAGATTTGTACCAGTTCAATGTCTATATGCAGATGTTTTTATTAACACAAAGCACAATTCTTCCATCCGCTCTGTCTCCGCCAGTACGCAAGGTAAATACAGTCCGATGAAAACATCAACCACTATGACCACCCTCTACTATATGCTATTTGCTAAAGGATAAGTTCATTTTGACTTTTTCTGGCAAAGCAACCGTGGTGAAAGACTAAATTCGTTACGTTGATGAACCGAATTCCATGATTTTGCTTTATGAATCATGGATACCGCATGAACACGTTATTGTACACGGCATTATACTCAAAATCAACCTTGTAATTAGGTAACTCTAAGAAGTGAAGCAATTAGCGCAGCGAATAACTAATTTTACTACAAGTGAATTAAAACACCTATAAAAATTATTTGTGGGGACGAATGGCAGCCTGTGACCCAAACCTATACACAAGCGGTGGAAGAAATAAAAAGCATTCGCTCACAATAGAAAGTGGTTTGAATTCAATCGGACAAAAAGACCACGTTTAAAGTAGAATTCAACTTCACGACCGGTGACATCTTTCCATGAGAAGTAAACGTAGAGATGAGATGGGACTGGTGCAGACTGAATTAAGGTGCCTGTGTATGCCTTCTTTGGGCGTATGGTGGATGGGTTGAAAAGAATTGGTAAACATAGATTGGCGTCGCTTTCATTAACACACACGTAGGCACGGCGTTCAAAGCGCGCCAGTCGCGCTCACGCGCTCTCCACCAGTGGCGCCGGTGGCGAAAGCGGGCAGGCGGGTGGGGGGGAGGAGGACGCACACACAAAAACTCGCACGTCCGCACGCACGTACACGTGGATGCCATAATGCTGCACGCGTCGTCTGCCTCAGCCAATAAAGTGGGGCGAAGGAGAGAGGGATGGACAAAGGCAGGGCATGAGAGAAAGGGGACTGAAAATTTGCCCTTCCCCTTCACCTAGGGGAGGGAGGATAAGAAGGCAGAATTCCACTACTACCTCTCACCCATTCACCACTGAGCCGTTTGAATCGATTGAAGTGATTCCTCGGCTAAAGCTTACAAACAAAAAAGGTAGACATGGAGCTCAAGTTAACTTTGTTAATAATACTGCAAAAGGCACACTATTTAACACAAAATTTATTTACAGAAAGCGTACAAAAATATTCAAAAACCGGATGGATTGTGCTTCTGCGATTTCACTTTGAATTGCGTCGCTGCATATCAAACATTGTCCATCTAAAATTTGTTTAAAAAAACAATCTACCAACTTACGCCCAAGGTAACAGTCTGCCAAATATTTGTGTTATAATGGAATATCTTTAATGTCGTTTAGTCAATTTGTCAAACTAAACACAATTAGGCAAACCAAATCACTTATAACAAAACGAGATTAGAAAGGAGTTAAATGCATTAAGTACCTTCATGACTAAATGTTTAAACTTTGACGGAGAACAAAACTGAGAAACTTTCGTAAAACTGATCCCTCTACTACAGAAGCTGGCTTTCCTCCTGACGGAGCAAATTGGATGCAGTTGCCACAACCTTCTTCTCCCCTTCTTTCAGTTTTTTCGTAGTGGAGGACTCCTCGCTGAATAGAATTTCCGAAGGACATCGCATAATGCGCCCTAAGGCGAGCACCTCCCTGGGGCTGCGGATACTGCCGTTGGCGACTGTCTGATAGTAGGGCGTGACTGAGGTACACTGGAAAGTGCTGCCATGGCTGCGACTATTAATCCCGCTGTCTGCTTGCGTTCGCGGGTCTGATATAACAATTACTTGATCTGGAACTACACTTTCGCCAATTTCCTTCACCGCCTCCGAAAATGTCTCATCGAGAGTCTTTTTTATTCTTAATATGGGCAAACGGACATCGGGTTTCGCGTGCCAGCATTCTTGCATCAGACTGGCACAGCGGATGAGCACCTTTGAGCTCTGCCAGCGCTCGGAGATAGGCGGGCGTTCACCCTCGACATGCACCACTCGGCGCATTTCTGCAAAGCTCGGATCAGCAGACACTTTATCCCAGTATGGCACATGGGGAGGATGAACCTCACCTGAAATCCATTTGTCACTTGGAATTACATTTCTAAGTACGAACATAGCAAGAATGCCATCGAAATCTATCTTAATGCCAAAACACCGAGGATTGTACAGTGTGAAATAATTTCACATTCTGCATGATCTAGATATTGTGAATGTTATACACCCTGTAGTGCATGACTGGAAAGTAGAAACGTGAAGTAACGTGTTTTCATGCACTGAATTGCTTTATGCAATTATGAAATAAAACTTCAGATTCTCAGCCATCCCTTCCTTTATAAATTTGGGCTTCGTGAAACTACGTAGATAATTACGTTTTCACTAATTTTTTATAATGTGTTTTTACATAGCTCATATATTTAGCTTACCACGTTCAGTTAGACATCGACGAAAAATTTCCCAAAGCACCAATCCAAATGCGTAGACATCAGCAGCTTTTAATTCCTCAAAGCTGAATCCGAGCGTATTAGGCACCGGTGACGTATCATTAATTCGATTTTTGCTCTGAAGATAAGCTGAAATCTCAAAATCGTGTGGCAGGAATCCTTCACCAGATTCAGGGCATTCTTCAAGACCGTCATCAGCCAGTATTTCAGGCGCCATGTATCTTTTCGTACCAACCTTGAACGTAAAGACATGTTTACAAGGCTAAATAATACAGATAGCGATTCTATTTCCGTATAAGTTTTTTTGTTACCATGTGATTAGGTTGACCAACATCCATTTCCGTCGAACCAGGTGCTTGCATTACAGCTAGTCCCAGATCTCCAATACTGCAAGTACCGTTTGCCTGAACCAAAATGTTTTTTGACTTGATGTCTCTGTGGACGATTGCTGGTTTTCCCTTCAATACAAAAGATGTGGACTAACTGTTTATATTGTGATACAAATCAGTTAAATAGATTCCAATCGTATTAATGCGGAAATGGAAATTAAATTGGCCTTTAAATAACTTTATCTGTATTATGGATTCTTATGCAGTGAATGCCTTATTTTATGCACTCCTAATATCTTCAAAGTGGCTAGTATGTTAGTATTGTCCCATTACTTTCCAGGTCCATTCGTTACGGTTAAATCAAATATTCCACATCTGCTGAAACTTAACTTATTTTTCTCGCAAATCAAATGTCTTAACAGACGGCATAAGGGAACAGCTGTGTTGAGATCTTTCAAAGGCGCCATTAATCAGAGCGCCATAGAGGAGAATGGGTAAAACCACTAGTCGGCACGCAACAGCAAACCACAATGCCAAGTCGGTCTCTCTCCCCCCTCTGTCTTTCTGCCTCTGTCTATGCTCAATCATCCCATACGGAAACTAAGTTAAAGGGGTCTGTGGATGGGAAACTAGCGCTCCCACCATCACCACCACCAAAAGAAAGTATTGGGGCCACCAACACCTGGTCGAATGTGACACATGTGGTCCCAGTCCAGACCTCACATGCATATCTTGCCATTGAATCGACATTATGGGTCTTTGGTGTATAAAAACACTCCCTAGCTCTCTCAACTCAAATCTAAGGGAATGCAAACAGTTTGTACTTCAAAAATGTGCACCAGGGTGTACTCACAATGCATTATAAAAATTTATAGTTATAACGGATATTTTCAAGGGTCGGAGTAAGTGACGACTATTGGTATTTCATATTTCTGCAGATCCAATCGCTGTAATATGGCACCAGATACAATTACGTTGGGGCAGTTCCGTTCGGGTTTTATAACAAGTTACGAAATTTTGTCGAATATGTATAGCTAACTTGTAGTCCGAGAATGTAGGAGTGGAGGTAGCAGAGACCGGATGCGGCTGTTTTGGCCAATCGAAGTGCCGCGATTGTGTCCACCACGTGTGCTTGCAGAAAGTCGTACAGCGAACCGTAGGGATGGTAATGGGATATAATCCACAGCTGCGTACACCCGTATCTATGCAAAAATTGGGTTTTGGCATGAAAGAAGTCGATCACAAACAAGCTTTAGCATAATAATAAATTAGCATAAATTATTTGATTTTCCTCCCTTAAAAAACTTACCATTAATATCTAGGTAAATTTGGCGCTCAAAGGAGTAAACCTTCATTAATATGATAAATTTGATTAGATAAGTCCCTATCCCATCATTGTTCAACCTAGTTCCCACATTTTCTTAACTTTTTGAGCATTTTTCATTGAAAAAGTGCAACATATGACGGCGTAAAACCGCAAAAACAAAACCCACCGAGAGGTTATATCGCTGGCATAGTAGCTGAGAATATTTTCGTGTCTGAGAAGAACGCTGCTATAGATGTGTGTTTCTCTAGCCCAGCTGGCCTCGTCGCGACTGGAAAAAATCTTCACTGCTACGTTTTCGCCCCGATAAATACCACGCCACACCTCTCCATACCGACCCTTTCCTATGAAGGCAAGAATACATACATTATATAAGGTAAATATTCCAGTCGCTTCACAAGTACGATTTGGCCCTTAGAATGCAACAATAATCTAATCGACCTATTAGATCTTGGTCCAAGTATTTCATCATTTATTAATACAGAGATTAAGACATTTTGCAGTTATATTGAAAGCTTAATGTCTCATTGAAATTTTTCTGGCAATTAATTCAGTAATGAAAATCTAGTGACAAGCCATTTTTAATGCTGCTTTTGGACATTTGTATCATGAACATACCGATACACTCCTGCAGCGAAATCTGTCGAGCAATAGTAGCTTGCACGAGGAATGGTACTCCGCTACCGCTTCCACTAGACATTGTGCCCGAGGGCTGGGTCTGTTGATAGATGAAATGGTTCAATAAAGGGCTTGGAGATTACTGACTTATTCTATTATACAATATCTACTGCTCTATGCTTGTCAGTAATGGACTGTTGTCATTCATATTTACTAACTTTCAATATAATTCTAGACCTAAAATTCACCGTGAGTTAAATAAGTGCTTTTAAAGTCCCACTATCGAAATCAGGTTTCAGCATGAGCTAAATGTAAGCTTATTGCAACGTTTAGCTGCCAAGATCAACAGAATGTCACCTAACCTCCAGTTTCCTAGACTCCGTCCACAGTTCGAATGAAAAGTGGAATCACGTCCCATGTTTAATTCAGTTGGCAAATTATAGATAAATTTGAATATAAAGTGCATTTTGGTGGTTTAAGAAACAGGAACATAATTGTTTGAGTAAATCTTTACATTAATTTCGAGAAGTTAAAGTAGTTAAAGTTCCTTAGAAGTCAGCATGGCAGAAACGCTTTTCGACGCATCCACAAGCCACTCATTCATAATGGTTTAAAACAGGAATTTAAATCTGTTTGAGTAAAACTTCAGGGAACAAAGTAGCCAGGTTCTCAGGTGATTTTTGTAGTCTAGTTATTGTTGAAGAAGTAAAAGCACCCACTTTTCAGGCATCCTCATATGCTGACGAGCAATGAAATAAAATAACAATGATCCAAGAAATACTAGAAATCGTGACTGCTTTATGGTAACATTAAGTAAAAGAACATCGAATCAGAATTTGTAAATTTATTCTAACACATATTCAAGTTATACCATCCACAGATTTCAGAATATTCCAGATTGTTCTTCCTAAGCGAGAATTTGAATTATATGGGAATTGCTTGTGGTTAACTCTGACGATGAGAGCTTCAGCGGATGCCGCCGAACACTTAACGCCCTCCCCTTATACACCGCCCCCAGCGGTGGGGAAAAGCTATCACCCGTGGGGCGGGGTGGTGGATAGAACTGGAGAAGGAAGATATGGAAGTGAAGATGGCATAAGCGTCTCAGTTCGTGGCATCATCGCACTTGGTGCGTTAAAACCCAGGAGATAAATATCTAATAGCTGGGAAATGCACTCTGATGGCGGTATTAGAACCTCACCAACTGCATAAACTTTAAAAGACGCAAGAATAGGGAACTATCTGAACCTGGTCTGAGTCTTAAGTCAAAAGCTTTTGGCAAAATAAATGTGACGCACTTAGCGATTGCTTCCTAGAATATTAAAAACCCGAATATACAGATGATTGCTAGAGCATCATTTCTAGAAACTCTTCTATGGAGACTGTTGTTAACATATCCTTCAAGTCAATGAACGAAGATTAAAAACCCAAGAAAAGTTTGCTTTTTAAGTGCGAATAACAGTGGAAAGTTGTTTACCTAAAAAATCATTTTATGACAATACTCTCTGCATTAAACGGATGTAGTTAACTAAATAATGACAGAAATCGGGTAAAAAAGCCTAGTATTATTGTATAACAAAGAGACTAAAAAAATACGATGGAATCTCAAAATCGCAAGGTGATTTCTGCTGGAACTTTATTTTCGAGACTTGTAGCGTTTGACCAAAATAGACATCCGGTGCGATGGTTTGAATTATGGTCTCCTAATAAATGTGAAGTTTATAATCGAGTACAACACAGGAACAACAAGTTCAGGAAATGTTGGCTTTTAGTATCCTGAGTCATTGTTACTTGCTTCAAGCTTATCAACGCGTGAGGACCTAAATCCATAGGTGACGTCAAAAATATTAATAATCCGAAAACACATTAAAAGTCAAAGCAAAGGAATAAAAATAATTGAGTATGAGGACTGAGTATTCTGTTCTGGTTGTACTAATAGAAAAGGAGAGAACTGCAGCAAGAAAGAAGTAATATAAATTTGTTTTGAAGTGTCCCTGTAAAAAAGATTTAATTAGAATGGCAAGCCAATCGACCAAAGCATATTTAAATAATGCATCGGCTTTTTAGTAAATCCACAAGAAATTTAAACTTGAAGACTAGAACTAAAACTGAGAATATATGAATCAACGTTAAATCAAACATCATGTTTCTGACAAATGACCTAATAACAGTCACTTAGGATATTTCAAGCTTTAAAATTAATTCACAAGTCTAAGTTAAGCACGACAAATACGATGTTGCTAAAAGGAACAATAAAAGACAGGAAAAAATGAGCAAATTTGCTAGCCAATCTTAGAAAACAATACAAAAAAGAGTTATTTGATATAGGAGAAAGATTTCCGCTATACTGGACGGTTTCGTTTCAATGATATTTATGTGTGAAAAAACTGTCGCCAACGTCTAGATGCAAAAAACTATAAAATAAATCAAAGACAAAACTATAGCAATACATTAAGACTTTAAAGACCAAAAATACACAATTACATTATTTAATAAGTAATATGTTTATCCTATGACTAATAAAGTCTAAAAGAAACGCATAAAAACGAGTGCAAAAATGCCGTTTTTTATAGATAACACTTTTAAATAAAGTGAAAATTAGGACGCATATACTACAAATATAAACATTAATTTATACCAAAACCTCAGTCAAAAACTTGTACAAAATACTTGTGCAGTGACAAAGGTTAATATTTTGCATTAATAACTCACTTCAGACGGTAGAGCCGCAGCTGATTCCAATGGCTTTTGAGGAAAACTACTTGAAGTGTTCAATTGCAATACATGATGGCTGAAGGGATTGTACTTCAAAGGACTTGTTTGCGTCAAATTTAACGAAGTGTTAACGCATATTTTACTGCAACATGTTAAAAAGTAAGGACAATGCATAGATGAACAAATATTAAGGTCCTGTTTCATATAAAATGGCTTCGTCAGGAATTTGCCAACGTTACGATTGCGATCAGAGCATTGAACAGCACCGGTGTAGCGCAATTGCTTACAACGACATGAACATGTAACCAAACCCTTGCGAGCAAAACAAATAAAAAAGAGAAAAAAAGCAAGAATGCAGAAAAACAAGATAACACTCGAGATAAGTGAAATCAGTATAGCTTCACTTGACCAATCATACATTGCTGTGCGGATGTTTCGAGAAAGTGAGGCATAAGAAGAAGAAACCGGATATTGTGATTTTGACAAAAAAGGCAAATAAAGATCTAAAAAAAATTAAACTCTGTAAAATGTGCACAAAAGATTTGCTTAAAAGCCCTTGCGTTCAAAAAAATTACCCGAAAAATTGCTCCAGTTGCAGAAATTACCGTTACTGCAGCAATATATTGATGAATTTTTATTTGACAAGACACCGCAAGTTATTTGCATTTGAAAAATATCATTTGAAAAGCATCCAGAAGTGATATATTCAGTGCCATTAATAATATTCCGCGCGGTAAAACACCCAGTAGTGGTAACACAAGTGCTATTACTGAGTCCAAGAGAATCACATTGTTCAAAGGGATAACAAAAGCAGCTTATTGCTCTGTGTCTCATGAATTTTAAAAAATGCTCAAGTCGCGAATCAGGGGACCAAAAACGCGAAGATACCAAAACGATTCAAATGACTACTTTAGTTCAACGACCTTTCTTTGGCCGAAACAAACAATTATTAAAGTAGGTTTTTACTGCATAATTACAGCAACTCAAAGAGGCAAGAATTCACTTTTACAAAATTTTTATCTTGTTTGTACATATTGGGCATAGAATGAAGGAAGACCTTAAAGAAATGCACTAAATTATAGCATTTTCATCTATTAAAAACCCTTTTTAGATTTTTTAAAATAAAACTGCTTTATCACAATTAGAAAAATATTTGTTTGTTTGCAAAAGAGTATATGAAAATGATTCTCTTTGCATTGGAGCACATCGAGAATGTCACAACTGAAAAGCCGTCGGTATGAATTCTGGGTAGTAAGATTGATTAAGATTACCATCTACCATGACGGGGGTAACTGATTATTTTGGCACACAGCTAACCAAAGCGAACATTCTTCGCGTAGACCACCTCTTCTTCAGAATGTCGCTCCTACACCTCTCCCTGCCCAACCATTTGCATCAGCCAGTTAAATGCAGTCGATG